AAAAGAGAGAGATAATCTCCTTGGAGTTATTTTGCTTTCTTTATTTCAAAATGTTCGCATAAATAGAAAGAGTAGCATTCATATTAGTTATTAAAATAAAAATCTTATATAAAATTGCAATGGATTAGAATATCCTATACCAAAAAAAGAAATTTATTGAAAAATACTACATAGAACAAGTTAATATTTTCTAAATTTTAATATGAGTCTGATAGATAATAAAAATTGGTTTTGATGTTCCTCTTGGTCATTATGAATGAAAAATTATGTTCATTTGGTTTAAAAAATGCTCCATCTAAAATTGAAAAGACATCTATTGATGATATTTTTTAATTGTTTTCTTATGTTTAGATCGATGATATGGTCATTTTCAAAATGATATTGATAAACATTTTTCTCTTATTTACAAAAGCTTTTACAATAATAATTAAAGTAAAAATAGTTTAATTTTATTTTTTTTATTAGTAAAATGTATGTCTAGCAGCCATCAGATGGTTTTGCACATGGACGACATCATAATTTTTTATGTTGTTATATATTTTATTTAATTAATAAAAGACGATTTAATTTATCTTTAATCAATTTAATAGTTAGACTCTTTTATAAATAATCTAGGTGCGTAGTCAAAAAAAAAGACAACTCCTGTGTTATGTTATACTTGCTTTTCAAAAGCTTTGGCACAATCTCTTTCTTGTAAAATAATAAAGTTTTAAAGTCTATATAATTATCACTTTGCCTTTATTTTGTTTAATTGATATAGTATATATATATATATATATATATATATATATCTATCATTATCTAGATTTAAGCTTCACCCTTACCTGCAATTCCAGCGTCCACATCCACGTTTTCATTCCGTCTCTTCCACAACTTCCAATAACTCTTTTTGGGTACTTATGAATTTAACATTTAAAAAGAGTAGGTTTGACTTAGTTTAAAAAGCCAAACCAAACTTTTATCTTATTTTAAATAACTTTTTTAATTTAACTAGGCAACTGAATTTGGAAAAGCTTAATACATGTTTTGTTTGCAAATTTCAATTCTTGTAATACATGATCTGAATTTGCACCTTTATATTAATTATCATAATTTTTTAATGAAACTTTATTCCTTTTGTTACGACAACCTAAGTTATAATTAAAATTTAAATTGGAAATAAAAATAGAATTTACTTTTTAATCTCGGATTGAATGAACTTATACACATTCATCGAAGAATGTAGAAGTTTGAGTTATGTAAAATTGAAACACCCCCTGAATTTTTAATTTTCCGAAAACTTTTTTAATTTTTATTAAATCAAAAATTTGAAATTTTTGACGGTATGGGGCCGTAAATAGTGAAACAATTTTAAATTTGGAAGTTTCAAGTTTTTGCAAATTAGGTCCCAAGCCCAATATAATGTCGAATTTTGAATCGAGAAAATTAAATTTTTGAGTAATAATATGAAAAGTCCAAGCATTAATTCTATTATGTATATATATAACCAATTTCTAAAAATCAAAATATGATTACTAACTATATTTTTATTTTTTTATTTAGTTAATGGATGGAAATGTTATGAAACCTAATTAAATATATTAATAATAAATTGAACCGGACCCGAAACTCAGATTGATTTTTAGAAAACACACCGAGATAATCCGAAACCAAAGTGAAAAACCTGCAAAACTGGGCAAGAACCGAGCCAAAATCATTAAATTTAGAACCGACCGAGTTCGAATCGAACCGGAATGGTCCTAAGAAGCGTTAGCCTTCTTCTTTTTCTTTCTTTTTTTTTCTTTCTCCTTTCTTCCTTCTTCCTTTCTCCAGTCGCGCGATCCTCCCCTCTCCCTCACGTTCTCCGATCACTGCACGACCAGGGGTGGGTGGCGACTGCTCCTAAAGCCTTAACGACCACGATTCCTGGCCTCCCTTCACGCGGAATAAGAGTCCCCCAGTCGCGCGAAACGGGACTGTCACTCCGACAGCTCCCAGTTTGGATTTCCGTTGAATCAAGCTTGAATCCAGGCAGTTGAATGGCCCACCAGGTGAGCTCCGATCGATTCCTCTGCCTTGTGTGAACGATTTCCATCCAAGAAACGATGGTTTTGGGTGGAAGAAGTTGAAAAACACCATGGTCGGCGGCGAGGAAGGTCTGTCGGGCTTGTTCCTGCCAACGGCCACCGGCTCACAAAACTGATAGCAGATTTTGGATCCTCCGCGAAAATTGGAAGTCGGATGGTGGTGACGCTTGCAATTTTCTTGGGCGGTTTAAATTTTCCGGCCACGTGCACGGGCGGCTTGGCGACGGCGGTCCGGTGACCGGCCCGCGACACTCCGTGCGAGGCCCCAAGAGGCAGAATGATCTCCACTTTTCGCGTTGATCTCATGGATTGAGGTCCGATTCTCAAACGGTACGCCCTAATACCTATTTACCTAAATTTTGTTTTAAAACTCCAAATTTACACTATTAATTGAATTAAGTTGAAATCAATATAACCTTGCTATGAAATTTAATTAACTGATATATGTAGTTTACAAATTAATTTTTGAACATTTTTAAATAAATTACATGGTTATTGTTATAAATAGGTTGAAATTGAGGGGGAAACTAATTAGAATTAGTTAATTAAGTTAATTAGAATAATGCATTAGTTTAAAAACTAACCGATTGTGCCATAAGAAAGTGAGGCAAATTTTAGTTTGGTTAACGTTAAGATCCGAAATTTTGGATTAATCAAGATTGGGAGGCCTAGCCATTGTTGGATATTGGATATAAAAGCGAATTTTAATAGGTAAGTAGTTATAATTAGTTATTGTTAAAATATGTTTTTAGCTGCTTAACAAATTAAGTTACGGTAAAACTAAAATGATTAGTTACTAATGACTTAATAAATGATATTATATGGATATTTTTAAGAATTAGTTGTAAATTTTTGAATGGAAGTGTTGATATTGTTGTTTTGGAAGGAGGATGGGATTTTAAATTGTTTGATATTGCCCCGACGGATGGGCTGTGTGCCACTGATTGATAAAGATATGAATAATATGTGATATTTGAAGCAGGTTAGATAGCCCAATTTTAGGGGAGGTGCCTTGCCGAAATTTTGACAGAATTTAGCAATTTTAAATTAATAACATAACAAATAAGCTTTATTAGATAAATTTCTACAATTTGATACATAATAAATAAAGTGCTTTACTACCGGATTGTCATTACAATAGTTTTATTATTATTATTATTATTTTATTTTATCGTTGCTGTTATTGTTAATAGTTATTTATTTAATTATTTAATTGCATTTGAGAA